ATATATATATATATATATATATATATATATATATATACTATATATATATATATATATATATATATATATATATATATATATATATATATATATATATATATATATATACATATATATATATATATATATATATCTTCTGCATGCGACCTCGTGAGCAGCATTCGAAATGCTTGTGAAGAGGATATTCGCATCAGTGCTGTACTGTACGCTATTCCTATACTCCGTACATCCGGCGCATTTCCTGATATCTACGATGATTAACCATGTTTTACAATTACAGCTGATTGACGATATGGTGATGATCAATGTGAACAAGGTCGTCCTGGTGCTATTCTCGCTGTTTAAGATGGTCATGCCTAAAAGCACTATCAAGAAGGTAAGGACTCAATCGGAACCAATAATACTTTTTATCTGTTTCAGGGTTTAAATACATCGAGATCCATCTGTCCTTCATATCTCATCCTAACCAAAATACGTTTCTCTGTTTAAGGGTACCAATACACCGAGATCCGTTCGTGCTGCATATATGTGCTTCGTATCCTAGGACTAGTATCTCAACCGTCAACTGATCACATCTCATCATCTTCATCTCCGGAGCACAGGTCGCCATGTGCGGCGCATCAAACACCACCATCGAGGACATCGGCAAGTGTCCCTGGGTCAAAGCCAATATGGACATAGCTGATGTACCTACCTTCCTCGGGGGTGGTTGCGTATGCCCTGCCGGCTGTGTGGAGGGTGTGGATAACAATAGAACGACCCACATGGGCGACGACTAGGCTGCTAACGCGTTAGATAAAGCGTTATTTGTACCAGTGCCGTTGCTGGTTGTTCCTGGCGTAGGAGACTGTTGTTGTGGAGCGGTGAGGGGCACATGGTAACCCATGCACGACCATGTGTGTGTGTGTGTGTGGTATCAATGGACATACGTACATGAACGCTAACTGGTGCTCCCATTTCACAGTGTCCGTGAATAATCCCGTACTGTAGTACCATTTAGTGTCGATCTGCCATAGGGCGGGCCTTGCGCCGTACTTTGGCTCAATATACACGAGCCTAAATATTTGTAGTACTTGTATTCTGACCTGTTAACTTTCAACCCATACAAAACGTACCGCTGTACAGGATGAATAACTGGTACCTATCTACATACCACTCGGCAACAGTCAACTGGACTGAACGGATTGATAGAAGTATGTCAATGTTTATTTCAGATAATAATGTGCCTTGAATACCCTCGAATCAAGCTCCGCAATATACACCGAAAGACACAAAGCTCGTGTCTCAGCAGTGCAACACTGCCTCATGGCGTATGAAAAACAAACGCATTTCACAGATTTACAACTAGCCGGTGCGGTTTATATCTTCCGCTTTCGACCACCTTACGTCTGTGTCGCTTTGATCCTGGGCTCAGCGGAAAAACGGGAGCACCTGGTACCTAGTCACCACACATAAACTATTGAAATCAGCTGAAATATTTACAAGAAGAATTGAAACTCCCCAGCCCCAACAACTCGAACTACCATTACAGTAACCTGGACTTCCGGAATTGGACCGATATGCACTTCATGTATTTAGAGCGGAAATCCTGACCACAGCGGCTGTTGCACGGGCGCATAATCGTCAGGAAACCTGCGTAAGGTGTAATAACGATTTACATGCAAGCTATGTGTTTGTTTCGAATAATCGTGATTCCCATCTCCTTGATCATCATAGTCCACAATACAACAAGCGTGTTAAATGCTATTAGCAGATATATATATAGTATATATATATATATATATATAATTATTATATATGNATAAATAATAATATAATATGTATATAT